TATTTTGAGAGTTTCATCAGCCTTGTATGTACCTATATGTGCCGCAATTTTTGCCTATCTTGCAATGCACTCACTCGTAAATGGCCGCCATCTTGATTCATTAACTTGAAAGTTTGCTATGCGCAGAAGAGATGCGCAGACGGTGACACTGCCCCTTTAAAAAGGGTGATAGTACTACTAATTGTAATACCTTCTTGTAATACCTTCTTGTTATACTAATTGTATATGTTCTTCTTAATTAATTAAAAAGGGTGATCATTGTAGGGTTGGGTGGTTCGGGGTACAAATACCGAAAACTGTCTGAAAAAAAACACGATGTTTTTTAATGAAGATTTCCTTATGAAAATTTAAAGGAAATTTCATAAAATAGTGGAAACACTGGGTGAAAAATATGGCAGCCATTTCGGTTGCAAATTACGAATATTTCAGTCTTATCATAGGCAGCTCAAAACTGCGTGTAGAATGCACCAAATGCTTCCAAATGCCAATTTGGATTAAGCTCACCCCATTCCTCTGTTATTTGTTGCACGCGACAAATAACAGAGGAATGGTGCGAGCTTAATCCAAATTGGCATTTGGAAGCATTTGGTGCATTCTACATGCTGTTTTGGGCTGCTTATGGTCTTATTTTTGCTTTTACACACATCTGAAATAAGCCAGGGTACAGAATATGAATTGTTTGTAAGCCACTGCTATACACCAGAAATAAGCCTTCTTTTCACGCATGTGATCCGCTTCTGCAAGTTTCAAGTATTTTCCCGATTTTTTCGTTAATCGTTAATTTTTTTTTTAAAAAAAAGTTTTTTATCGATAAACCGCCCGACCCTAGATCATTCTACTAATCATATTAGGAATGTTCGGTATGAGAAATTTCCGGTATCGGTATACCGAAAAAAGTATCCCGATATTATTGGTATACCGGTTTTCCTTTGATAATTATAAAGGAAAATTCTTTAATGGAAATTTGAAGGGAATTTTGAGTAATTCTAAAAGGGAAAACGATAATTTTGAAGCTGTTTCAAAATCTAAATCATTTCAGTAGAAAGTTCTTTGAATTGCCATTCAGTAGTAAAATAAAGGTTATGGTTTTGCCATATAGTTGGTAAATGTAACACGGTATACTGAAAAATTCCGGTACATCGGAAATTTCGGTATATCGGTATGGCTGAATATCCGGTATCGATATACCGAATTACCGATATTGATTTAATACCGATATTTTCGGTATATCGGTATACCGAACAGTCCTAAATCGTATTGCATATAGCAGCCAAAAATGATTTGTTTTATAGTCTTGCCACAAACATCATTAGTAAGCAGCATCATTTTGACATTTCTGAACAGTAATTAAAAGGGGTCTAACTTCATGTTATTTAATTAATCACTTTTATGGGAAATGGAATAATTCATTTTGTTATATGGTTAGTGTCAAAGTTCAATTTTTCTGTTTTCTGATTGGACAAAAGCGTATCACATGCCGGTCTGCAAAACGTCGTGTTTACTGCTACTGCATTGCTCTGGCAACGAGGCAACAGGTCCATAATAGAACATTTATTGACCGGTCCACAATAGAATGGGTGCAGTGCGCATGTGCGTCAACCGTGTAGTTCCAAAGTTAATTTTATTAAACATTTATGTCGTTCCATTTATAATCTAGTTTTGGTTTCAAAGTTCACTCCAATAGCCGGAGAATTATTCATACTTTGACACTTGTATACTATATAACAAAACGCTTATTTGAGACGTTGGGAAAGCAGTGTGTTTTGATGCTTACGCCCGTATTCTAAAAGCTCACTCACACTAAATGAGTGGAGGTTCAATCTGAGCTTCTCTTGAGTGTCAATACTGTTTTCAAATAGCTGGAGGGTGAGTAGTCACTGAGTAAGGTATGAGACTAGCCCTCCAGCTATTCAAAAACAGCATTAACACTCAAGAGAAGCTCAGATTGAACCTCCAGTCATTGAGTGTGAGTGTGAGTGAGCTTTTAGAATACGGGCGTTAATCTGGGTTATAATGATAAACAGCCAATTTTAGAAGGCATGAAAAAATCACTATCCCATGGGCGTGGATAGCATTGTTTGGCTTATTTAATACAACATGGCTTGCGATTAATAGTTAAAGCAAATTCATGTATACAGAGTCAGAGTTAAATCAGGATTCAGTCACGGCATTCAGTACTTTAGTTGTATAGTTGCACTATAAAAAACTACGTGGCTAAAAATGACCAAAAAGTTGGGGGGGGGGGGGATTGCCCATGTGCTACAAGCTTTCTGATCTGGCTGGTTCTTACTGTGTTTTCAATTAAAATACTTTTGTCAAATCTTAGCAAAGGAAACAGGACGAGAAACGAGAAAGAAAAGCAAAGAAAAAAGAAGAAAAGTTGAAACAGAAGGAGGAAGAAAAAAAGATTCTTGAGGTTTGTTTTAATTCATAATTTCCACTTCTCTAGATGGGACCTGACCAAATATTTAGCCCAGTTGGAAGAGCATTGAACTGGCATTTCAAAGATTGCAAGTTTGAAATCCAGTGGTCCCAGCCACACTTGCGAACATGAACATTCACTCAAGAACATTTCTAGCCATCATATTACAGGGTGAATAATATCACAACATTATAACACTTGCAGAACATGAATGATGTACAGTAAACGAGAATGTTCAAGAAATTCAGTATATAATTCATAATTTTATGTACTTTTATAAGCTCTGTAGTACATGCAACTTTACATATTTTCACATTACACCTGTCAAGTTGATATTTAATAAGTTGATTACGAAATTATTTCCATGACCATTGACCAATTTGTTTCAACCAGTTACAGCCAGACGGGGTGGGTACAGGTTCGCATCAAATTCCTGCCTGTTTCGAAAAGTCAAAATGCTCAAATCTTGGGTGTGGGGATTGTGGTTGGAATTGACTTGTGCATAAATACGAAGATTTTAAAAATGTTAATTCTGCATATTTCTGTGTGAATTTGGTCTTGAGATACGTCATCGTTTAGTCAGTCCTACATTTAATTGCTGGGTCACTCAAAAATTACAAACTTTGATTAGCTTTTTAACGATATATTGAATGAAAAATAAGGAAATAAAATTTCAACTCATGTTCATCATGTGTTTTCCGTCTTTTTGTGTGCCAAAATGATGCAAGTTTCCCAAATGTTCGTATTTCGCTCCGACATATGCCGGCCTGTCCGTAGCAGAATATACTGTATGCAAACATTGGTTTTTAATTTTTTTTTACAATATTTTGTTCAGGTTTATGGAATTTCTGCACCCATACAGTAAGGGGTTTATCCACTTACTGTACATGTAATACGCGCGTAATTAAGGGGGATACAGTCAAACACATATGCAAAGGCATATACAGTTTATACAGTATGCATGTACAAGGTTAGAATTTTTGAAAATATGTACGGCATGTAGTAAATGGGTGACTCCTAACTGAAACATTGTATTATGTGACTGTTTTGCATACTTTAAAAATGGTCCGCTGCAATTTCAAGATTAACCGTTATTAACCCACTGGGCACCAGCACTCTCCCCTTGACGTCGTGTGGCGTCGAGTACACTCTAAAAACACTTTGGTTAAATTTGGGTTAATTCAACCAGTACGGGGTTAAAAATCCACCTACACAAGTCTGGTTAAAAAAAATTAACCATTTTCCTGGTTAAAAGTCCAAAAAAGTGTACCAAATTTTTGTTGAATTGATAATTTTTAAC